TGAAAAGAAGAATGAAGAAGAATGAAAAGAAGAAGAAGAATGAATGAAAAATGAAAAGAAGAATGAAGAAGTGAAGAAGAATGAAAAGAAGAAGAAGAATGAAAAGAAGAAGAATGAATGAAAAGAAGAATGAAAAAGAAGAAGAATGAAAAAAAGAAGAAGAAGAAGAATGAATGAAAAGAAGAAGAAGAAGCATGAAAAGAAGAAGAAGAATGAAAAGAAGAAGAAGAATGAAAAGAAGAAGAAAAGAAGAAAAAGAAGAAGAAGAATGAAAAGAAGAATGAATGAAAAGAAAGAAGAATGAAGAAGAAGAAAGAAGAAGAAGAAGAATGAAAATAAGAAGAATGAAAAGAAGAAGATGAGAAAAGAAGAATGAAGAAGAAGAATGAAAAAAAGAATGAAAGAAGAAGAATGAAGAAGAAGAAAATGAAAAGAGAAGAATGAAAAGAAGAAGAATGATGAAAAGAGAAGAAGAATGAAGAAGAAAAAGAAGAATGAAAAGAAGAAGAAGAAGAAGAATGAAAAGAAGAATGAAAAGAAAAGAAGAAGAGAATGAAAAGAAGAAGAAGCATGAAAAGAAGAATGAAAAGAAGAAGAAGAAGAATGAAAAGAAGAAGAAAGAATGAAAAGAAGATGAAAAGAAGAGGAATGAAAAGAAGAATGAAAAGAATGAAAAGAAGAATGAAAAAGAAGAAGAAGAAGAATGAAAAGAAGAAAAGAAGAAGAATGAAAAGAAGAAGAAGAAGAATGAGAAGAAGAATGAAAAAAGAAGAAGAAGAAAAGAAGAAGAAAAGAATGAAAAGAAAGAAGAATGAAAAGATGAAAAGAAGAAAAGAAGAAGAAGAAGAATGAAAAGAAGAATGAAGAAGAAGAAGAATGAAAAGAAGAATGAAAAAGAAGAAGAAGAATGAATGAAAAGAAGAATGAAAAGAAGAAGAATGAAAAGAAGAATGAAAAGAAGAAGAAGAATGAAAAGAAGAATGAGAAGAAGAATGAAAAAAGAAGAATGAAAAAGAAGAAGAAAGAAGAATGAAAAGAAGAAGAAAAGAAGAAGAAGAAAGAAAAGAATGAAAAGAGAAGAAGAAGAAGAATGAAAAGAAGAAAAGAAGCAGAAGAAGAATGAAAAGAAGAAGAAGAATTCCAGTACAGCAAAAAGTGTATCTGCAGAGAGCTCCGCTATTTCTGACAGTTCTCTGACAGTTCCTTCACATTTACAGCGGTTGAAACATTGTATCTATTTGTTTCCGAATAAAAACATCTGTATCCTAAATGGAAACTAATAGATACAATGTTTCAACCGCTGGAAATGTGAAGGAACTGTCAGAGAACTGTCAGAAATAGCGGAGCTCTCTGCAGGGACATTTTTTGCCGGCTGTAGAAGGGATGAAAATCGGCCGATCGGGAAAAATTTGATTCGTGCATCCGAAGTTTGCTAATTTTCGGATTCGGTGCGAATCAAATTTTTCCTAATATTTGAAACGAATTCCACTTCGCCTGGTTCGATTCGCTCATCTCTAGTGTTCTTATAACAGCATGGTTATCGGTAATCATCCATCCACAGCTCTGAAACCATATGGGAAATCACAGCAGCAAGATATTCAGTGGCACTTAGAAACTCCAGCGCACACCAGCAGGAATTCACTGTCCGCACCTCCACTCCGCCATGTAAGAAATAAGCAAACATCCCATAATAATGTAACTCTGCTTTCAGGGTTTTTATGAGTGCGGCTGTGGGTGTTTTTGGTTTTACATATATTCATTGACTTAAACCCAAAAAACCCACAATTATAGTGAAAAAATCAAGACCCAAAGAATTCCCAAAAATAAAAATATATAAAAGAACAAAAAAAATAAAATAAAGTCCCAATATGCAAAGTGTCCAAATAATGTGTCCAAACAAAGATCAATTTCTTGATAGGAAGACGCTTCCTACTCCACTGAAGAAGATGCAAATCAATCACAGGTGCTCTTCAAATACCTCAAAAAACAAAATCTCAACATAGTATATTACCTTTTAAATCCCAGAACTAAAGTGCCACACGTGTATCATGCAAAAAAAAACACACTCCAGTGTCACAGCACTCATGTGAAAAGAAAATGAATAAATATCACTGCAAACTATATATAAAGTGCATAATTACCCTAAAACAAACAGATTCCAGCTTGTAATCAACCACATATGTACAGAGTGTCCTTAGATTGGTATCCTCTTGTTCCTCAGGACCCCTTGCTACTCCTATCCAGCACTATCACTGTTGTGTCTTGGCATCGGTTGTACTTGTGGCGAGATTCGTTTAGACCCGGTCTGTCAGAATGTGTGCAGCAAGTTGAATGATCGCCTTAACAGATAGTTTACTCAATGAATAACAACTTCAGAGGTATTTCCAATGCTTCTTTATGCTTCAAGGTAGCAAAGGTATGAACATAAAGGTGTTTTCATAGGTAAATTTCCAGTGATGTACATAGCCTCCTCACTCTACAGCATCTTGATAACCACTAAACTAAAATGGATTTGCAACAGGAAATGAAGGGTGGAAGCAACCAACTAGTCAGAAACAGCAGGGGTGTGTGGATGATACCAAATAACATTATAACATAACATGTAAATAACAACTGCTAAACAGTAAAGCTGCGTGGCAGCACAATCACTTTGTAGCTCTGGGGGACACCTGAAGTGCACCGTTACTCTCCAGACCTCCAACACACAGGGATTCCAGAATCCAAAATGGCTGCTGCAGCACTTCCGGGAACGTCAGTACGTCACGTGCCCTGCAGGACACTGCCCTGGATAGGAGTAGCAAGGGGGAATTACCTGGTGATCGGGAGACCCTCTACACACGGAAAGGGGATCGTATACTGGGCATGAGGAGTTGGATGCTGTCTTGCTGATCTTATTGTTTTTATATGTAAGTGGCTACAATAAATTTTATATATAATTATAATTCACATACTGATTCCTGGTCTGTTTGTGAGGTCCTGAGGAACAAGAGGATACCAATCTAAGGACACTCTGTACATATGTGGTTGATTACAAGCTGGAATCTGTTTGTTTTAGGGTAATTATGCACTTTATATATAGTTTGCAGTGATATTTATTAATTTTCTTTTCACATGAGTGCTGTGACACTGGAGTGTTTTTTTTTGCATGATACACGTGTGGCACTTTAGTTCTGGGATTTAAAAGGTAATATACTATGTTGAGATTTTGTTTTTTGAGGTATTTGAAGAGCACCTGTGATTGATTTGCATCTTCTTCAGTGGAGTAGGAAGCGTCTTCCTATCAAGAAATTGATCTTTGTTTGGACACATTATTTGGACACTTTGCATATTGGGACTTTATTTTATTTTTGTTCTTTTATATATTATATATTTTTATTTTTGGGAATTTCTTTGGGTCTTGATTTTTTCACTATAATTGTGGGTTTTTGGGTTTAAGTCAATGAATATATGTATTATTAGTACTTCAGGGGAAGGATATTGATATGACTTTAAGGGATTTCTGAAGATTTTATATATATATGTGTGCTGATTTATACTTATTCTGTTTTTTGGTTTTGTTTTTTGCTTTCTGAGGCTGAGCTCTAAGCGCAGTCTTTTCTGTTATTCATCTTATTATAACATAGAATTACCAATGAACTGCTATCTTCTCCCGCTTGAACCTTCCTTCATCTAACCATCAACTTTCCATATGTGTTGAACGTGTCCTCCTTATGTAGGACTCTCAAGATCATTATGCTGTTTATTTTTTGCATACATATATTTTTGGGTTTATTATTTGAATGAATCTCTGTAGAGCTGTTAGTCCCAGATATAATATGTATAGACATACTGACACTTACCCCTAGCCTTCTGTTATGAGCTGTAGAAAGAGAAAGCACAATATTAGAAATGAGATATTTCTTTATTAATAGGAAAACAATATTGAGTCACTAGCAAAGTTCTGTGATTGGTTTTTTAAAATGAAAAAACTAAATTTCAACCATTAAAATCCAAATGAAAGTAAATTAGAAATATGGAAATAAATATGGATTTTTTTATAGGAACTTAGTGATAAATCAGTCTTTACATTTTGACCATCGTCAGTCTTGACTCCTGAAACATAATATTTCCTACTTCATCGTGTGTTAGTTAAAAGGCTTCAGGTTCCTGAGCTGACTATTTATGTGACTTTTATTTTCATCTTCATCCTCTACCCATAATCACTTTCCCTCCATCCTGAGCTATGACTACACTATATTGCCAAAAGTATTGGGACACCTGCCTTGACATGCACATGAACTTTAATGGCCCCCCAGTCTTAGTCCGTAGGGTTCTATATTGAGTTGGCCCCGCCCTCTGCAGCTATAACAGCTTCAACTCTTCTGGGAAGGCCGTCCACAAGGTTTAGGAGGGTGTCTATGGGAAGGTTGGACCATTCTTCCAGAAGCACATTTGTCAGGTCAGGCACTGATGTCGGGGGAGGAGGCCTGGCTCACAGTCTCCGCTCTAATTCATCCCAAAGGTGTTCTATGGGGTTGAGGTCAGGACTCTGTGCAGGACAGTCAAGTTCCTCCACCCCAAACTGGCTCCTCCATGTCTTTATGGACCTTGCTTTGTGCACTGGTGGGCAGTCATGTTGGAACAGGAAGGGGCCATCCCCAAACTCTTCCCACAAAGTTGGGAGCATGAAATTGTCTACAATGTCTTGGTATGCTGACGCCTTAACTACACATGTAGTCTTTATCTCTTTTATGTCTGTTTCTTATAATAAAAATTGTCATTTAGCCTTTCAGATGAACCTTCTGTGCGGTTCTGCCTTTAACCGCCTCTCGCCCGCCCGCCATATAGTCCAATAACGGGTGCAAGGTGGTTCTCTCGTTCTGAAAGGACATCATATGACATCCTCCTATTCTAACCTCGCATGCGTGGATCTGGGAGTGCACAGCGCGGCGATCGGCGGTGTGCTGTGTCCTTCGGACACAGCAGATCACCAATCCATGGAAAGAGCCGAAGATGTCGGCTCGGTCATGTGATCAGCTGTGTCCAATCACAGCTGATCACATGTAAACAGGAAAATGCTGGTTATCGGCATTTCTCTCCCCACGAGCTGTCACGCTGACAGAGGAGAGGAGAGCCGGTAATCGGAATTCCGCGGAGGGGACATGTACACTGATCATCAGAGCACTGATGATCAGTGTGCCCTGATGATCAGTATGGCCCCAGAAGTGCCACCTGTCAGTGTCCATCAGTGATAGCTGTCAGTGCTCATCCATGCCACGTGCCAGTGCATATCAGTGCCAAATTTCAGTGCCTATCAGTGCCACATCAATACCACATATCAGTGCCCATCTGAGCTGCCTTTCAGTGTCACCCATCAGTGGCAGGCATTGCCGCCTATCAATGCCAGTCAGTGCCACCTATCAGTGCTGCCAATCAGTGCCACCTATCAGTGCCTGTCAGTGCCGCCTATCAGGACCAGTCAGTGCCGCCTATCGGTGTGCATCAGTGCCACCTATCAGTGCCCGTTAGTTCTACCTTTCAGTGTTAGTCAGTGCTGCCTATCAGTGCTGTCTATCAGTGCAGCCTATCAATGCCGCCTATCAGTGCCATATATCAGTGTCATGTATCAGTGTAATGTATCAGTGCTGCCTTTCAGTGCCCATCAGTGATGCCTGTCAATGCCCATCAGTGCCACCTACCAGTGCCTCCTCATCAGTACCACCTACCAGTGCCTCCTCATCAGTGCCCATCAGTGCCACCTATCAATGTCCATCAGTGCAGCCTATCAGTGCCCAACACTACAGCCTCATTAGCGCACATCAGTGAAGGAGAAAAATCACTTATTTACAAAATATTATAACAAAAACTAAGAAAAAAACTTTTTTTCAAAATTTTCAGTGGTTTTTGGTTTGTTTAAGAAAAAAATAAAAACCCAGAGGTGATTAAATACCACCAAAATAAAGCTCTATCTGTCACAAAAAAATGATAAAAATTTCATATGGGTACAGTGTTGCATGACCGCGCAATTGTCATTCAAAGTGTGACAGCGCTGAAAGCTGAAAATTGGCCTGGGCAGGAAGGGGGTAGAAGTGTCCGGTAGGCAAGAAGGGGGTAGAAGTGTCCGGGAGGCAGGAAGGGGGTAGAAGTGTCCGGTAGGCAGGAAGGGGGTAGAAGTGTCCTGTAGGCAGGAAGGGGGTAGAAGTGCCCTGTAGGCAGGAAGGGGTTAGAAGTGCCCTGTAGGCAGGAAGGGGGTAGAAGTGCCCTGTAGGCAGGAAGGGGGTAGAAGTGCCCGGTAAGCAGGGAGGGGGTAGAAGTGCCCGGTAGGCAGGAAGGGGGTAGAAGTGTCCTGTAGGCAGGAAGGGGGTAGAAGTGTCCGGTAGGCAGGAAGGAGGTAGAAGTGTCCTGTAGGCAGGAAGGGGGTAGAAGTGTCCGGTAGGCAGGAAGGAGGTAGAAGTGTCCTGTAGGCAGGAAGGAGGTAGAAGTGTCCTGTAGACAGGAAGGGGGTAGAAGTGTCCTGTAGGCAGGAAGGGGGTAGAAGTGCCCTGTAGGCAGGAAGGGGGTAGAAGTGCCCGGTATGCAGGAAGGGGGTAGAAGTGCCCTGTAGGCAGGAAGGGGGTAGAAGTGCCCTGTAGGCAGGAAGGGGGTAGAAGTGTCCTGTAGGCAGGAAGGGGGGTAGAAGTGCCCTGTAGGCAGGGAGGGGGTAGAAGTGTGCCGGTAGGCAGGAAGGGAGTAGAAGTGTCCTGTAGGCAGGAAGGGGGTAGAAGTGCCCGGTAGGCAGGAAGGGGGTAGAAGTGCCCTGTAGGCAGGAAGGGGGTAGAAGTGTCCTGTAGGCAAGGAGGGGGTAGAAGTGTCCTGTAGGCAAGGAGGGGGTAGAAGTGCCCTGTAGGCAGGAAGGGGGTAGAAGTGCCCAGTAGGCAAGAAGGGGGTAGAAGTGCCCTGTAGGCAGGAAGGGGTAGAAGTGCCCTGTAGGCAGGAAGGGGGTAGAAGTGTCCGGTAGGCAAGAAGGGGGTAGAAGTGCCCTGTAGGCAAGTGGTTACGTTTGCAGTTTCTCCATCACATGACCCTCCAAAACGCCTCTTCTGGGAGCAAAGACTGGTGATCCTACACTGCAGTCAGGGCTTGACAAAGACCTGCCATATGTTGGGATGTTATCACACTGCTGGAGTCTTCTAAGTCCACTGATCAGTTAGAGGGTGGTAGGGGGTTATAGGGTAGTGGACAAGGACTTTGGTTTTCAAATAACATTCTTTAAGCCATGCAGAGAACTGATTTTCAGAGTGAAGAGGAAAGGCATATCCATGTATATATATATTTGTTTGTAATGTTTACTTTGTCTCCTAGACAAAAATTACCTTCAAAATGTTCCTTATTACTGTATAAATGTCATAAAATAGGTATCACTTCTGCTGCTGTTGAGCCTTTTTGAAAATAATTAGTTGCCTGACTGGAACAATATGGAGATTTCGGATACAATAAGGTTCTTCATTAAAGTATATTTAAAGCCAACATGTTGTATTTAGTTTTTATTGAGTAGGAAAGAGTTAAGACTCCTTTCAGGGCAAGTTTTCCCTTCCACTGAGAGGCTTTCCCTTCACTTTCTGTCCCATTCCTTCATGTTCCTGTTCTGTGAAAAGAAATCTTTCCAAAGTCAAGAAAACCATCTTTTAGACAGTAAATGGAATACTACAAGAAAGAACCCCTACCCACTTGCCTTCTGGACACTTATACCCCCTTCCTACCCAGGCCAATTCTCAGCTTTCAGAGCTTTTGTACTTTGAATGACAATTGCACGGTCATGCAACACTGTATCCAAATGAAAGTTTTATCATTTTTTTTTTCACACAAATAGAGATTTCCTTTGGTGGTATGTACTTGCCTCCGTGTGTTTTATTTTTTGCACTATAAACAAAAAAAAAAGCAAAACATTTGAAAAAAAAGTTTGATATTTTCTATTATAAAATTTTGCAAACAGGTAATTTGTCTCCTTCACTGATATGCGTTGATGAGGCTGCACTGATAGCACTTATTGTCACTGATAGGTGGCACTAATTGGCACTGATAGGTGGCACTGATGAGGTGGCACAGAGAGGCAGCACTGATGGGCGCTGATAGGCAGTACTGATAGGTGGCACTGATGAGGTGGCACTGATTATGGGCACTGATAGGCGGCACTGATTATGGGCAGTGATAGGCAGCATTGATGGGTGACACTGACTGATGGCACTGACTGGTGGCACTGCAGGGCACTGCTGGGTGGCACTGATGGGTGGCATTGCTGTGCAGCACTGATGGGCACAGGTGGGTGGCACAGGGCACTTGTAGGTGGCACTGCTGGGCACTGATCATTAGGGCACTGATCATCAGTGTCCTGATGATCGGTGCTGATCCCTCCTCTGACAATTGCCAGTTATCGGCAGTAGCGCAAGGAAAGTGCAGCCGATAACCGGCAACTGCATTTCCCGGTTATCTGCTGTGTCATTGGACACAACTGATCACGTGGTAAAAGGCAGCTGTGATTGGCCCTTTACCACATCACATAATTTGCTGTGTCTGTAGGATGCGTTCTGGGAGGACATCATATGAGGCCCTCCCAGAACTGGCCGGCTGCAGTGAAGCCATCATTTGGCTATCAGCGGTCGGCAAGTGGTTAAAGAAGAGGGTTTTTTTGAATGGCTGTGAGATGGAGGGCGATATGTGTGTGGGGTGGTACATTTGCTCACTTAGGGGCTTACAATACACTCACCGGCCACTTTATTAGGTCCACCTGTTCAATTGATTGGTAACACAAATTGTTAATCAGCCAATCACATGGAAGGAAATCAATGCATTTGGGCATCTTGGCACGGTGAGGACAACTTGATGAAGTTCAAACCGAGCATTAGAGTGGGGAAGGAAGGGGATTTAAGTGACTTTGAACGTGGCAGGACTGATCTGAGTATTTTAAAAACTGCTGATCTACTGGGATATTCACGCACAATCATCTCTAGGGTTTACAGAGAATGGTCCGAAAAAGAAAAAATATCCACTGAGCGGCAGTTGTGTGGAGGAAAATGCCAGGACAGAAAAGAGTGGGTAGACTGGTTCAAGATGATAGAAAGGCAACAGTAACTCATGTCAATATGGACAAAATCTGTGGAATGTTTCCGACACCTTGTTGAATCCATGCCATGAAGAATGAAGGCAAAAAGGGGTCCAACCCGGGTCTAGCAAGGTGTGCCTAATTAAGTGGCCAGTGAGTGTATAACTAAAGGCTAAATGCTTGTCTTCACTTTGGATAGGGAAAGGGATATTACAACCCCTATGAGTTTTTTTTTCCTAATGAAGAGATTTCCCTTCACTTCTTCTTCTGTAGATGAAAAAGGATGTTAGAGGAAAAGTCTACAAAGTGAGGGAAAACCATTCTTAGACATCTGTCACCAGACCAGGGGTCCCCAATGGAAAATGTACCCTATTCTTTTGACAACTCCAAAGTTTTGGATTTTCCCACATTTTCTGTCCTAGTGACACCAGTTATCAGGACGAATGGATAATAAATATCCTTCATAGTGTGACATCAGATAAAACCTGACAGAGACTAAACCCTTACCTCTCCAGTGGCATTTTTTAGTGCCCTTACCTTTAACTTTTGTAAAAATCTGTTTAAGCTTTCTTTCCTTGTTACTGGAAGTCAGAAGAGGAGAATTCTCAATATCTCCACTGTTATAGGTCCTATTATCGTTGTCACTGAACAAGAACAAGTCGTCGGCCAGTTTGAGAATACTGGGCTGTTGTTCCAGGATTTGGCTCTTTGCATCTTCGGAGTCATCCACATTATCAATCACCACAATGACATTGCTCTTTCCTGAGAAAAAAAAGGAAGTCAACGAAAAAAAAACCCATATATTGTTAATTTATGATTTCACTATGAAATGCAGTAATTGTAAAATAAATGATCATGAAGCTATAAAACTGAGTTTCTTCTTCCTGCAGATGTCAATTGGCTCCAAGATATGAAAATTAAATCTAAAGAAACCGCTAAACACACAGTAGGGATGCATACACTATGTAGCTAAAGGTGTGTGGACACCTGACCATCACACCGATATGATATGGTGGACATCCATTCCAACCTGCCCTTCCTCAGTCCTTGCTGGTACAATGGCCTCCTCTCTTCTGGGAAGAATTTCCACAAGATATTGAAGGGTGTCTGTGGGAATTTGTCCCATTTGCGAGTTCAGGTACTAATGTTGGATAAAAGACCAGGCTCACAATCAGCATTCCAATTCATCACAAAGGTGTTCAGTAGGGCACAGCTCTGTAGAGGACACCCGAGTTCCTTCACACCGAGGCCAAACTATATCTTTATGGAGTTTGCTTTGTACACAGGGACATCGTTATGGTGGAACAGAAAAGAGTCTCCACCAAACTGGTACCCCAAGGTTGGAAGACCACGGTTAGCAACA